ATATTTATCTTCGTCTGTCTCACTGTGACCCAGGATTCAAAGGATGTCCAAACTTGGATCCTGTCTAAATTGGCCCTAATATGTGTATCTATGAAAGTAAGTTAGGGACCTTAGATTGTACACCCCTTGAGGGTTAGGGAGTGATGTGAATGTTCAATATATATATATGTATATATATATATATATATATATATATATATATATATATATGTGTGTGTGTGTGTAAAGTGCTGCGTAAATTGACAGCGCTATATAAGTACCTGAAATAAATAAATAATGTCACCGGATTTAGGTAGCAGCTGTACACAGAGTTATCAAAGCCAATATTTATTACACTAAACAGACATATACAAAATACACTCTTCCAAGCATAGTATACATTTGAATGACTATTTGCATCATCCAAACTTTGTCTAAGGTCAAAGTGTCTCTTAAAATACAACTAAAGGCACATTTTTTTTTTTTCGATAGAGTTAGGGCGATTTACCCTCTTATTCCTCTCTCTCTATTCCTGTCTACCATTATCATCAAATGTGGAAGTAAAATAACATCTCAAATTTTGGGTTGTCCCTAAAAACAGTAATAGAATCTTCCAATGGGGACTCTAGATCTTGTAACCTGGAGGGCCCCCAATGGATTTCCTTAAATTGCATGGATTTCCTGTCACTTCCTGTGTTGGCTATGAGACAGGAAATGGAGGCAAATATCCTCAATGGGACACAAATTGATTTACAGAACTATATGTAAAGCAAATGGGTTGAACTGCAAACTGAAAATATCATGATAACATAATCAGGTTATCATAAATTAGAAAGATGATTCCATGCTAACTCTACATGTAACATTCTGATTACAAAATCTCCAGTCTCCTCTTCGATGTAGATCCAGTCAGGTTGGCCCTTATAGTACATAGCTATTGGCAAATTTGGTATTTAACAAAAAAGGAAACTAAACCATTCATTGTTGAGAGGATATAACCAAATCATACTTGTTTCCATCACAAAAATTGAAGGCAAGATACCCACACAGATTATACATTGAATGTAATAGATTATCGATGTGAATAATTTGATGAGCAATTAGAGTAATGGAAAATACTACTTTTGCTAAGAAAAGAAAAATGTCCTGTCTCCTTTTTATATATTACATGGTTTTTGGTATACTCATGCCTGTTTTGTCTTGTCAAAGGATGGCTAGCTCCTTCCCACATGTACCTACAAACCCATTACTATAATGCACAAACACACAGGCCAACATGTAGGCAGGGGGTAATGTGTTGTTCCTTTAACCACTTCCCAACTGCCCTATAGCAGATATACTGCTACAGGGCAGCACAGGTGCTCAAAATCATGTATATATACGTGATTTTTCATGTCCGGGTAGGGGGGCACGCGCGCCCTACCCGCGCCGCCATTCGCGGCAGCGGCTGTCAATCACCAGGTCCCTGCCGGTGATTACTCGACGACACCCGGTGATTGCCGAGGATCTCCAACGGGGAGGAGAACTGCATGTAAACAATATAGTTCTCCTCTCTGTCAGCTCGGGCACACTGCTTTGGATGAATGTGCACAGCACAGCTATCCAAAGCAGTGTGATTACAGTGAAGCACTAACACAGCACAGTATGCAAACAGCACACAGTTAACCCTTTGATCGACCCTCATGTTAACCCCTTCTTGCCCAGTGCCATTAGTACAGTGTCAGTGCTTTTTTTTTTATCACTGATCACTGTATTGGTGAAACTGGGGATGTCAGTGACACCAAGTCAGTTCCCCCCCAGTGTCAGAATGCCCGCTGCAGTCCCACTATAAGTCACTGATTGCCACCATTACTAGTAAAAAAAAAAAAATAAAAAATTCCAGTATCTATACTGCCATTTGTAAACGCTATAACTTTCACGTAAACCAATTAATTTACATGTATTGGGATTTTTTTTTCAGCAAAGACGTGTAGCAGAATATATTTTGGCCTAAATTTATGGCAAAATTAGATTTTTTTAATTTTTTTACTGGACGTGTTTAATAGCAAAAAGTAAAAAATATAGTTTTTGTTTCTCAAAATTGTCGGGCTTTTTTTTTGTTTTAGCACAAAAATAAAAAATGCACAGGTGATCAAATACCTCCAAAAGAAAGCTTGATTCATGGGAAAAAAAGGACATACATTTCATTTGGGTACAGCGTTGCATGACTGCGCAATTGTCAGTTAAAGTAACACAGCACCGTAACGCAAAAAATGGCCTGGTTAGGAAGGGAAGTAAATCCTCAGGAGGGCAAGTGGTTAAAGAAAGTTTCTTCTTCAAATCCTTCTAGGAAGAGGAATAATATCATATCCTTCTTGGCAGGATCTTATTTAAGCTTGGGGAGCTTAGCTGAGAGTAGTTCAGGTCTTGCTCACAGGAAGAACAAAGCAAACACTGAGCGATGGGATAAGTAGTTGAAAATTCTCTCTTGCTACCCCAGAGATGGGCACCCCTACTACTGGGCACTGAAGGTGTACTAATCCAGAGAGAGGAATTGTTTTTTTGACTGGACTGAACTACCTCAACAAATTTGAGTTGGGCCGAGTCTGTGGCTGCTTCAAGTGTGTGGAGTGGATCCTGGGTCCCTCTGTAAAGTGAGATAGCGCCCTGTTAAGCTAATGATAGACTGTGAATCTCATGAAGAACACAGTTTGGGAGAGAGGATCCCAGTGGAACAACTCAGTGCAAGCCTGGTTGGGCTAGGAGATGGTGGTAGATAGGAGAGTAGGAATTGTATCCTGGAACCACATGTGAGACATTGGGCCAGATGCAAGAGGAGTCCCAAAAAAGAGGAGATTCATTGTTAAGGGTGACCAGGAATAGGGGGTGAGTGGGTGTTCAGGGCACTATGCATCTCAGATACACTATATGAGCACAGATGGCTGTGGGCTGTGTGCTAGGTCTGTGTCAGCCCTGTCTTCGGTGAGTCCCGGTGTAAGGGTGAGTGGCTGTTCAGGCGTGGTTGGATCCACCTACAAACAGGAATGTGTGGACAGTATTAGGTCAGTCTTCAACACCATCAAGAACTATGTAAACTGGATCTAAGATGACATTTTACACTGTCCTGAGATTTGGAGCACTACCAGAGCTGGGTGTATGCAATTGACTTAGTACAGCCTATCCAGTGCTAAACGTCCTAACTTATGGCTTATTTGAACTGCATATGTGATACCTGCTATTAAAGGTGTAACTAGAACCTTCAGGGCCCCAGAGTAAGAAACAATAAAGGGCCCCCCTGACCCCCCCCATTCAAGTGCTGGGGGGGATGGGAGATGGGATCAGTGGCAGTGCTGGTGGTGGTGGGAAGGGGGATGGGATCAGTGGCACCGCTGGCGGGGGTGGGGGATGGGATCAGTGGCAGCGCTGGCAGTGGTGGGGGATGAGATCAGTGGCAGCACTGGCGGTGGTGGGGGATGGGATCAATGGCAGTGTTGGGTGGGGATGGTGTCAGTGGTGGGGGTGATCACCTGTTCTCAGTGTCGTTTTCCCCTCCATGCTCGGTGTCTCCCCACCTCCCCCCATATGTGGCCAATTAAAATATATTCTTTAAAAACATACTGATGGCCTCACCCTTCTGTATTCCATTCAAAATGAACAAAAAATGTGGGCTTTAAAAGCACATACATTCCATAATAGCGGTTTTCATACTTTTGGAATTTTAAAAGAAAAGTAAACGAGATTTAAGTGCTGTGCAGTGCAGGAACTCTGGCCTTCATTAGCTTTGGTCTTGCTGCCTATTTACATTGTCGCGTATATATCCTGTGGTATTTGGGTCAATACAAGAGCTGCTTCTGTCAAGGCTTCTGCATTTAATTGAATCTGCCTTTTATAGCACCAAACAAGGATAGTCATTTTTGACTTACAGACAACACAGAAGACCCATGGGAGTATTGATTTAATACAGTACTTAAAACTCAATGAAAACAGCTGGACTTACAGACTCACTGTCTCAATTACAGCACACCCATGGCAAGACCTTTGCAAACAGTATAAATTGAAAATAGACTGAGATTACTTTGTTACATTGTTGTAGCTTTGCCAAAACAGAGAAAAGCAAGGAAAAACCATGCAGTGCCATTTCCCCAAAGAGTATATTTATAATCTGACATTTAGCCCTGGTTCACACTGATGCCGTATGGAATTCGCATCGTTTTATCTGCAAATTCTTCACCGCATCAGAATCACACCCCACTCGTGCGAACCACTGTGTGTGTACTGTATGTTAAGTTAACAATACCCCGAAAGTGGTCTGCAAAACGCGGTGCAATGTGCAGAATCGGATCACATAGATGTGAATCCCATGCGATTCGATTCTAGTGCGGACCAAAAAAGGGTCCTGCAGCACGTTTTTGGTGCGGTGCGATTAGAGCCATACAAAATGTATGGCTCCAATCGCACCACACACAAATCGCATGTAATTTGCACAGGAATGCGGTGCAGTTCCTGTGCGAATCACATGCGATATACCGCACCACATATATGTGAACCCAGGCTTAACCAACATTCACTGCAGGAAAATCTTTCTAGGGCATGTGTTTTAACCACTTGCCCAACTGAGGATTTACCACCCTCACTAGGCATTTTTTGCATTATGGCGCTGCATTATTTTAACTGACAATTGCACGGTCATGCAATGCTGCATCAAAATGAAATTTACATCTTTTTTTTCCCCCACGAGTTGAGCTTTCTTTCGGTGGTATTTGATTGCCTGTGCGGTTTTTATTTTTTGTGCTATAAAGAAAAAAGACTGACAGTTTTGAAAAAAACGATATTTTTGGCATTTTGCTATTAAACATGTCCAGTAAAAAAATAAAAAAAATATAATTTTGTAATAAATATAGACCAAATGTACAAATATATTCTGCTATATGTCTTTCCCTAAAAAAATCCCAATACATGTAAATTAATTGGTTTACGTGAAAGTTTTAGCGTTTATAAATTGCGGTATAGATACTGAAATTTTTTTTTGTACGATCAGCGACTTATAGTGGGACTGCAGTGGGCATTCTGACACTGGGGGGAACTGACTTGGTGTCACTGACATCCCCAGTGACACCAATACAGTAATCAGTGCTAAAAAAAAGCACTGACACTGTACTAATGGCACTGGGCAGGAAGAGGTTAAAATGAGGGGCGATCAAAGGGTTAACAGTGCGCTGGGAGTGGTTTACTAGGGGGCTGTGTCAATGTGCTTCACAAGTAAACAAAACAGTTCTCCTCCCCATCAGAGATCGTCGGAAATCACCGGGCGCCGCAGAGTAATCACCGGCCAGGACCCAATGATTGACAGCCGAGGACGCGAATAGTGGCACGGGTAGGGCGCTCATGTGGCTTGCATGTGCCCCCTACCCGGAAATGCAAAATCACATATATATGTGATTTTGCGCACCCGTGCCACCCTGTAGCAGTATATCTGCTATAGGGCAGGCGGGAAGCGGTCAAAGACAGTGATTGATTCACCACCAGTGAGTGTAAATCACACTCACTGCTTAATAAACTACTAATAACTATGTTTATTTGCGGTAAAAATAGGTGGCTGAGCCAAGCTTTTAATGGCCTCTGACCACCCCCCTTAAGCCGAAAAAGCAGGTGAACAGGTTGTACACATGCCATGACCCTGGCAAATGTAATACCCTCTGTCTTGTTTGCCAGGCAGTAAAGCTGCCGAATGTGGCCTATTCAATCAAGTAAGGTTATGCTGCACTCACCCTGGGAATGTGTGCAATGCAATGCAGTGGTTATGGCACTGCAGGCTTACAGGAGGTCAGGAGGTGACATATTGTCTTCCTGTTACTTGTCAACTGCCTTTTGAAGAGCAATCCACCACAGATCGCTTCCCAGAGGGGCAGCAAAGTCTTCCACACATGTAAGCTAGCCCTATGCACCCCATGCCAACAGTGTATAAAATAGTTTTGTTAAACAGGTGACAGCTGCAATCTGCACAGAACCTTTCACTTCTGGTCACCGTAAACTACCCACAGGAAAATGTAAACAGTACATCTAGATATCCATGTTCTGTCACATATGCTGACCCCTGGCATAAGTTAATCAGTGTGATAGCGAGCTACTAGTAATATACTGTGACATAAATGTGACATAAAAGTACAGATTTGAGTAGATAAGATGTGACCTGTAGCAATATGTAATCGTAAATGTAGTTGCATGCCTTGTCATTAAAGAAATATTCAGTCAGAGGTATTCAGAGACAGATGGTCAGTAATTAGCATCTGAAGTGATCTAGCTTCCTCTGGATGTGACACCTAAGTGCCAATAAGATTTGTCCATAATCAGACTTCGCCACCTTTCCTAAAGTAAAAGAGGAAATGGCTGGAGACAGATTGGCTTTATGACAGCAGGAGACCAGAGCTTTAAAGTATATACATACATCAAAGGAGTATGTTTCATCCCTCATACAAGCTAAAATATTAGTTGCAGAGAGACAGAAATACTTCCTTCTGATGGGGCACTCTGTAGGCTGCATTGGCATATAAAAACTATATTTGTGGGCTATGTAGAATACCAGGAAAATGCAGGAAATGGTTATGTGGCGCTGGAGTGCGATAGCAGAACAGTGATTGGTACTGTCGCGATCGGACTGATGCGCTGGCACCCAGAACAGCCTGTGGGCGGGTACAGGAACACCCCCCAGGGTCAATTGGCCGAGGACAAATGTCCCGCCTACGTCCATATCCCCATAAATTGAGTACCTGGACATTGGGACATGGCAATTTGTATGGAGCCGATCTATTTGACTGACGGATTGCTGACTCTCTGACCTTGCTCCAGTCACAGGATAAATCTGGGTAAAAGTTTTATTCTGTTTTATTCCCTTTTATTTTATAGTGAATAGTCTATGTGTGTCTTCTTGTATTTTTTGTATTTTTTATAACTTTTTATACTTTGTACATATTTTATGCACTGCCCACTTTCGGGATATTAAATCTTAAAATTAATAAGTGACTTTTGTGTATTTAAGCACAGGCTCATATCTCCGGAGAAATTAGATTGGAGAGATTAGATTGGAGACATTAGATTGTATTGTATTTTAGTGCTTTATACGCTCGGTCATTGCCAATCTGTATGCAATTGCACTGCATGTTGGCAGATTGCGTGCAGATTGTAAAGGTAACAGATCTGCCAGATGGAGATCTGTGTGTGTGGGGTGTCCCAGCAGACTGTTCTGTGGATAAACTGTTGGGTGGTGGCAGGCTACCTTTTGTGGTGTGTCTGGTGTGGGGGTGTGTGGACAGTGGAAGAGTGATTAACACTCTTCTAGCTGTAGGATAGCTGGAGGGATCCTAAAAGGGTGTGTGTGTGATTGCTAAGCTGCTCTTCAACTCTAATCAGTGCACCAGATTGTATATAAGCTTTGTATCTGCCAGTGTGTGGTCAGCCATCTGGATTGGAGTGGAGTCTCCCCCCCGGTGGTGGCCAAGAGGTAGTGCGGGCTGTGAAAGTATATCACGGCTGGTCTTATATACGGTTTTATATATTCAAAGTTAAGTCCCCTTTATTCCCTCTTACCCCAAGTCACGGCCACACGTGCGCTCCTCGGTTAGCTAGTCGCTGTGGGCGTGGTGTGTGGGTGAATCCGTAACATACACCTTGTTAAAAACTTGGTGCATTGTGCAAAGATATGCAATTCAACCGTTCAACCACAACTGCTTTACCCAGGCAGTTAATATTATATTAAGCAGGCAATAAAAAATGGAAGCCGCACAAACTGTGCACAAAAACAAAAAATTTGCAATAAACAAAAGAAAGGATATCCTTTCTAATACCAGACATTAAAATAATAAGTGTTGCGCTATAAAGTGACTAAGTGAAGATATATACAAATGATATGAATAGTATAAAACAAATGACCAAAGTCAGAACAACTATGTGTCACAAAGCAATTACAATAAATATAAACAGTGAAAAAATATTATTTAAAATTGAAAAGTCCAAAGTGAGTAAATTAAACTAAATTGGTGGTCAACACTATTCTCCTCATCCACTGACACCAGTGTCACCTGCCACCGCAGAGCAAATAAGATGCGGGCTTACCAAATGTAAAGACCCCCTTATTCAAAGTGGTCATAAATGCTCTATATGCTCCACCTCAATATTACCTCTCCATGCCAATCCCAATATTGGTCACCATTGCTGGTTTATATTAGAATTCAAAATAGGTAGTGTGTACATGCAAGCTAAGCAGATAGAGCACTCCTCATAGTGTAAATCCACCTAAACACTTTTATTGGGCGTGCAATTGCACTTACAGACAGAAAATATGCATTTGAGCATCAGTAGTCACCAAGCCGGTAAAGAGCAAATTCTGGTTCCTATGCATGATGACGTCACAGTGGAGGCTCCAGCTGACGCGTTTCATCATAAAAAAGATGTCTTCCAGGGCAAGGAGACCCATCATGCTTAAATAAACAAAAAACAAGCCTCTCTCTGGTTTCTATCAAGCCTCAATATGAGTGCCGATCTAGACAGCCAAACCAAAACTTGCTATCAGATCAGTCCCAACTCCATTTAGATCAGGACGAGAATTATGTTGACTGGCATATTATATAATGCAAGTAAAACACGCTATATTCTGGATGAAGATAATACACTATAAAAAATTATACACCAAATCATATTGTAAATTCAGAAACATATTAGATAAAAATTATTAAAACGTATTAATTTATATATCTAAACTTTATATATCTAAACTAAATATATGAATAAAATACAAAAGGCCATCTAGTGGCTAAAAAGAGATGTTACAACAGTTCTACTAATCTCCATCCAAAATACTGATATTTGCACTAAAAATAATAATAATTCATTGTAATATTATATCAAAATTTCATATTAATGTGAATAGGTTATAAACCCATCCACACCCTAAACAGATCATGAATTCATAACAATTAAACAATCTATAAAAAGGATACAATTTTTTTGGCAAATCTAAAATACATGATACTTGCAAAAGATAATTCTCACTGAAAAGGGAGAGGAAAAAAAGAGAAAGAGGGAGCAAAGATGAAGGGGGGCATCGAGTTTTATTGACAAAAGCATTGATGTCCCAATCCATGTTCAAACCAAAGGGAGTATAAGATTTAACATTATAAATCCACTTGGTTTCAAGCTTAGATATTTCTTTCTCTTCTCCAGTGCGGTAAAAAAAAATGTATCAATTGCTAAAATTAAGGTGCATGTGGGATCCTTGTTATGTGCTATAGCATGGTGTTTAGGGACAGTATGTCCCTTAAAATCCCATCTAATATTGCCCACATGCTTACTTAGATGCACCTGAAGTGCCCGGGTGGTCCTCCTTATATACTGGAGGCCACATGGGCACTGCAGAAGATATACCACATTGGTGGAAGAGCATGTGAGAAAAGGCGTAATCTGATGTCTAGAGGAAGTGGCTGTAGTTGTAAAAAATAAAATTTTTCTCCTTGGGCAAACATTAATCTGACAACAATTACATTTTCCACATTTATGGAACCCTGTAATCCCCTAAAAAAAGTTGAATATCTAGGGGGGTCATAAATGCTAGGGGCAATGTGGCTCCTCAAAAATAGGGCACCACAAAAAATTAATTGCGGTTTACTTACTCTTTAATTACATAAAATATGCAAATGTTTGGCTATGATTTGCTTTAGTAAAAAATGCTGGAAGGAAAAGGAAGTTATAAAAGACCATGACCATCTATCTTTATTAGAGGGATCATGAACCTGAACCAGCCTATCCCAAAATAATGAATGCTATCTAAATCTCCAACAAATCCAATATCTGCATCAAGGGATTGGCTTGTATAGCCTTTTTCAATAAGTCTATTTTTTTTTTATAACTTTAGCCTGAACTAAATAATCACAAGGTTTTGTACAATTCTTCTGATCCTTGTAAATTGACTGCAGGTGATAGATTTCAAACAGGGTAGATAACGGCAACTATCTACGGGAATATATGCATTATAGTCAGCAGCCTTAAAGAACGTGGATGTGATAAATTTGGATCCTTCTTGAGTAATTTTTAGATTTAAAAAATGTACTTCATTCTGACTCTCTTCATATTCTAATCATATATCCCTATCATTGATATTTAAACCAGCCATATACTGTAATTCTGAAGGGATTCCAATGAGCCATCCCATAGGAGGAGGATGTTGTCTATATATCTTGTCCACATGATCAACTCCATAGGACATTGGGTATAGATGACATCCTCCTCCCATCTGGCTATGAGCAAATGAGCTAAACTGGGGGCATATTTGGTCCCCATAGCTACACCCCCCAAACCCGAAGAAAATGATGAGATGCTTGCATATTTCACAACTCAATAATAAAATCTTTCTGGCTAGTAGTTAAATTGGAGCCTCAATTTAAATAGCATTGAACTGCAGTAAGTCATAGGAATGCATGGAGGTAAAAAAAACCTTG